AAGATATGTGTATGATGTCTGCAAGAAGGTAGTACTCAATGACAACTGATTGATTGAAAATATAGTAATTTACAGCAGCACACTGAAATAACTTCCTTAAGACATGAAGTGAGAGAGCACGAGGGATGCAAGACAGTCGCTCGAGGTGCAGCTAAGAGCGACTTTAGTCTCTTGAGTGCTCTCAAAACTTAAGAAGAGTTCCATATCTTAAAGTACACACAGCTGACGTATAAACCAATTAATTTATAACATTTTTAACACTGTACTTTTTTCGTTGTATGAGGAAAATTCCCACTACTACGCTTTAAAGGGTTGTTTATACACTGTTTCAGGAAACATTTCGCCACACTTTAAACACTCTCGTTGGTAAAAAAAAAAAAACTAAACAACACGTGGGTTTATGCCTGTAAATTATCTTTATTTTCTGATTAAATAAAAAATTCTCGAAATCTGAAAGAACAACGAAGGGGCTGTTTCACTGGCTAATTTACATCGGGCCTCATCCTAACCTTGTGTGACAGGCAATTCGACTTGAATAACTTAGGATGGCATCACTGAAGTGAGTTGAACTCTTCCTCCAAGAACCAAGGTAAGTAACATGCAGGCAATGTAAATAAATTTTATAACTATTGCCCATCTAGTCTTTAGATTTGAACGGCAATAATTCTGGATAACATCGCACATCGGGCCTCGCACGGGCGTTCGGTCGCACTCTTATGACGTTGCTATGTATAGTTTCATCGGGCTCACAAAATTTTTTAAATTTACCACATGAAATCTGTCTGTTTAGCTTTCATCTTTCAGCTTTGCTTCACTATTTTCTTATTACGTAACAATATTCGACGAGTCTCGGTGTTTTCCTGTGAATCGGCTCCAAATAGTAAGTGTCACTGATGTCTGACCTGTCTGCTGTAAAACAGAATATTTTCTGTAAGTTCAGTCATTTTTCGGAAGAATCCATTTAGAGCCATTGACTCTCCTGATAGAGAAAAGAAAGGAGGAAAGGAAAACCAGCGGATACTTCATAGTTTAAGCTATGTAATACCACTGTGTGGGACATGACAAGACCAGCATGTAACTTAACTTTACCCATTTTTAACCCCTTTCCTCGTAGCCCTAACATAAATATTTTGCCTCCTTTCTTTGTCCTAACATTTCGAATTTCTGCTCTCAGTTATTTCGTCGCAAGATGCAAATCAGCAAAGAACAGGTTTGTTAAACCCTCAGGGGATTAACAAAATTACGCATAACGCGACACTACATTGTTCTTAAAAGGAAAAGGTAATCGATGCCAATATTTAAATGAAGACGGACGAGAAATAATCAGGCAATTTGTGCAAGTTTTTTATTTGAAAAAGGATGTGAAGTCATTATATTTTATTTTTTACATTTTGCAAGGTAAAGAAACTTTAACAGAGGTGTACTATTCGTCACGTTGAAGGTGTGTGTGAAGGAAGGCATGATTGTACAATTCCTTTTAACTTCCTGATGATTTGTTTCGTTCACAAACGAAGACAATCGAATGTTAACACAAAATTTAAAGCTTTAAACTTAGCCAGAGAAATAAGAGGAAGACGCCTCAATGAAAGCTATTTCTCTTTGAAAGAGAAATAGAGGTTAGTTCAGGGAGTTCTTGTCGACTGCACTGTGAGGATGAAAGGTCATGCCTGTCATAAAACTTTGGCCCCAGTAAAAAGAGGATGAGATATGAATGTCAACTGCATGAGCTACTCTGATCGGTTTGTTTGACTCAAAAATTTTACCGAATCTATACAATTGTAAAACAAAGCCGTAATCCCTAAGGTAATCTATCGTTTTCGGTATTATTTTCTTTATCCAAGAACTGTGTGTACAACTAATACCCCATTCACACCAGCAAAACATGTTTTGTTAAACTGGTTTTCATTGAATGAAAATTATAAACAGAGAACTGAAAAACTTGATTTTCCATCGGATTCAAGTACTAGCTAACTTGAGTTTCTTGAATAAACTGTGTTTAAGAACTGTGTGTACAACTAAGTATAGGGCTGTGCAGAAATCTTTCCTTTCCTCGCATCGTTGACCAATTTTAGCTAGATTTTTTACGGAATTCATGGAAAGGTGAAAGGAGCCGATAGCTTCCAAACAAAAAATAATAAAAATTGCAAATGAAATTTAAATAAAAATAACCACGCACGATCCAAGAGCACACTTTTTTATCAAAATAATCCTCATAAATGTGCGAATAAAAATTTCTTCAGTCAGATAGCGATTCCTTCGCGTTGCGCAGTGCTCAAACTTGTCCCTAAAAATTAATTCTAATTATTCAGAAGTGTGATAAGATCGATCGATATGAAGAACAGTAACGATAATAACTCTACGGTATTTTCTTTCTTCCAGCAGAGCGTTTGTAAGATGAGTGATTCGTTTTGTGGTAGCAATGGGTTGTGAATTTCCAACTATCAGGAAAACACTGCACAGTGCAGATATCGCGAAGGGTATTATGGACAGCCATGCAGTAAGTACATTTTAATACAAAATTGCCTAGTGTTTTGACTGGTGTGATACCTAGTGTTTTAACCAGTGTAATATATATAGATAGATAGATAGATAGATAGATAGATAGATAGATAGATAGATAGATAGATAGATACACAAAGGACAATGACAAGTACAATTCACGTGGACCACAAAGTATTGGAGTTGTACGGGTTCGTTGAGTAAAATTTAAGGGGGCAATGGCCCGCTTAATTCAAAAGCTTTTACTCAGCATTCTATTTAACTACTCTTAACACGTGCATGAAGAAGAAGTAAATTTCTAAGGAAAAGGAAAACGACTTTTACGAAAATGTGCTAACATTTGAGAGGTGAAAATTAAATGCGAAGATACCACGAGACATAAAAAATTCCCAAAATGCTGAGGGAATATACAAGACACGAAACACTCGTAGGAAAAAGGTTTACATCGACGCAAAATAAGACATACTGCTAAAGGGGCGTGAAACATGATATATAAATGGCAGCTAAAGTAAAGATGCACGTGGAAAAACGAAACGATTAAGTGTAAATTAATTGGCGCAGATATATGAGACCTGTTTGTGAGAAAAAAAGAATTACACACTCGCCACAGCAGTATGCATGAACGAAAACCGTTAATATTCTAATTTTAAATGAATGTTTAATATGTAGCTTCAAATAGAGTCAAGACAGACAAATTTGTAATAAACTGTGCACCAGACGTAGGCATTGCAGAATTAATCTCACCGACTGCTAAAGACCTTTAGAGTGTTAGTGACTGTAGAAAGTTCCTGCGCCTTTTTTCCCTCCATGTTATAAAACAGAAGGTTTCCTCTTTGGATATCATTTTTACTATTACAACTATTATTGTTATTATCATTATAATTATTGTTATTATCATTAGTATTGTTATTAATTGCACCACCAGGTTCATAGGTTACTTATTTCGTTTTTTTCGTATTTCAACCGTTCAAAACCTCATTCGTTCAATCCGTTCAAAGTTCTATCCTTTGCCCTAAGAGTTCCGTGGCTCCTGTTTCCGTCGTCGTTTCTTTTAATTTCAATACAGAACGCGTAAATTTTGTTCATACTTTTTGGATACTGGATTTTCTGTCATAATTATAGATGCTGACAGCAGACAACCAGATTGAACAGGAGAGAGGGAAACAACCTGACAGCCGCGCAGTTTTGTCAGTTGTAGAACCTACTTATATGTGTGTTTTATTGGCAATGCTCTTTCAAATGCTGATTGATTTTGTTACAGATCTTTATAACTTGAATTGTTGGATTATCTGAGTCTAGAGTTAGGGGAGACACGTGTTTCTATGGTCAAACATTATACCGAGTGTTACTTTGTCCTCAATTCAACTGAACGCAAACTTAAAAACTGACGTGGGAAGAAAAGACTGGAAAGCACGAAACACAAATCTGCGTGCATTTTACGTATTTTACTTTGCTTTTACCCTGTTGCAGTCATCTTTTTTGTCGCACCTTTAGCTGCCATCTCATATCAAACATCTGTGCATGGAGTAACTGTTAATTCTTATGGATCATATTTGTTCTTTGTTTTTGTATCATCATAAAGTTTAAAGCGAAGGATGAAGATACTGATTATTATGTTAAAAAAAAATGTGCCATCGAATATAAAGGAGCTTGGTGGTACAAGGGTTGCCATAGCTCTAATCAAAATGAATTACACCTGAATAGTTCTTACTGTAATGGAGTCATCTGGGTAGAATTTCGAAGCCATCATTATTCATTAAAACGCACCGAGATGAAAATCAAGAATCGAATATAATTCTTTGCAATAGAGGTTAGTTATTAAGATACTTTGCACCGTAAATAAAAAAATTAAGAGCAGTTTCACTTTTTGTAATGCCTTTAGCTGTTTGAGAGGTACTCAATTGTGGCCACATTTTTTTGTGGATTGAAATGCAGAAAAGTTGGCCGTGAAGATTGTAATTTTCGCGCATTTACGAGCCCTGAATAAGTTCTCTACAAGCGAGCTACTCTCGGACTCTGCACATATGATTAGCATCTCTCCATAATCTCTTCGTTAGCATATGGCCTGGAAGGTGGTGTTAAAAACTATGATTTTTCTGCGATTCTTTTTCACTCAATTGAAAAGCCACTTTTCCAGCCTCGTATTTGGTATGTTTTCATTTTATGTTTGGAATAATAAATCAATTTAGGTCTCACGAAGAGAGCTTCACAACAAATAGTCTTTTCCCAACTCAAGGGTGAATATAATTAAATCAGATGGGGAACTAACCGGTGTGAATAAAAGTTATGATCGCTGAGAATTCAAACGCAAAACTTTATTTTACATTTTTATCAGCATTTTTTGCATTTGACAGAGCTTCAGTCACACGGCGAAAATTACAATCTTAACTTGAAAAGATGGCATGGCAAGCTATTGTAGATTATGCTTACCTACCGAGCGTCGCTTATGCATAATTTACACAACTTAGTCGTTTCATAATTTTTTGTCATACTGCGGTAAGCGAATACCACTCGATGAAAACAGACCTCTACCTTTTCTGAACTCTTCAACATCTGACAATGCAGCTTTGGATACTAACTCTCGTCTGCAAAGCTGTCTCCGGTGTAAGCCGTATTTCTGAGCTAGACTGGGATGCCACAAACTTTGCTAAGGCAGTAGAGGGGAAAAAGCTAAATGGAAGCGTCATAAAAGAAATCGAGGTGAATTCTGAAACCGTTTGCCAGTTTGAGTGCGTCAGAGAAGCACGATGTAAGTCTTATAACTTTAGAAAAACGAAAACTAATGGGGAGAACTTCAAGTGCCAGCTGAGCGACTCTGATCGATTTTCTGGGATTGTTAATTTCACCGAAGATGAAGACTTTATTTACCGAGGACCACAGGTAAATTAAATTAGAGTAAAGTACATGGTACAAGAGAGTGCTTCATTTTTTGAAAGCATCCAAACAAAAATGAAAAAGCTGCAAAAGTTAAAGCTTAACCAAACAAAAGAAAATGGAAAGAAAATCAGAGCACATAACAAAGAATAAGCACCGATTCAGCAATGAGATCTACTTAAGACCTTGGATACTTAAGGCTGTAGATGTAAACAAGAGTTGTTCCGATTGATTGATTATAATTACAAGGAAAGATGCAAAACGTATAAAAAAAGTGACGTTTAGGCCTCTTAAAAGATTTGAAACACTCCCCTAATTATCTAAGAATTATTCTAAGCGGTTCTCCCGTACATTCTATTCTCACTGACGCTAATATTTTTGCAGTCGGTTTTGTGAAAATATTTTCGTGGAAACGGCAGACTTCTTTATGCTGGTGTTGTCACAGTTAATCCAAAATAGTTAACCAATGAAACGAAGGAATCCTAGGGGACAGCTGGAAAGAGTAACGGTTCCCCGTCGCTTAAATTTGCGTGGTAGGAAAATGTCCGAATTGTCGAAAAATCTTTAGACGAGTTTTTGAAAATTTGCAACAACCACAAACAAGTCAATAAAATGCACCTCTACTTATTTTTACAAACATTCCTACCCATCACCAAACTATAAAGTATAAGTATAGAATTAGTCAATTCATAACTTCGTCCTTGTTCAGGGAAACGAAAATGTTACTCTCGCTGGAAGTCATCAAAGCTGACCGTATTAATGAACAGTTTAAAACTCGAAACACCTCCTACTTTTATCAGAATTTTCCACAAAATTCCTCTTTGAGACAGCAAGAAAATAACGAAAGAAAAAAGGTTCTCTAAAATAATCTATTCCATATAGAGTGCTTGTGAAGAGAACATTTCCCTGTGCAGCGACAAAGGAGTATGCATTCCCAACTACAAGGACGGCACAATAAGATGCAATTGTGACGATGGCTATTCAGGAAAACCATGCCGTAAGTACAATATAAAAAAACCGTCGCCTGGTTAGCTCATGTTGTAGAGCGCCGGAATGATGCGCGGGAAGTCGAAGGTTCAAGCCTCAGACCAGACCAACAGTCAGGGTCTTAAAGTCACTGAGGAGAATGTCCTGCCTTTGCTATAAAATGATCTCTAAATGGTTAAACATTCTAGTCTTCTCGGATGAGGCCGAAAAACCGCAGGTCCCGTTCCTGCATCTTCTCTGTACTCATTACCAGGGGATGTTAACGAACCCGTACACTTCTCGCAAAGGGTAGGGAACGCAGCTCCCAGTATTACATATGGTTCATTATGATGCATCATTTCCTTCAAAACTGTAAACAGCTCAACACAGTCTGGCCAAAGTCCCCCGAAAAGTGTTGTGAAGCGCCATGAGCTAATGGGTATGGCACTTTAGAAACCCTTTATTATATAACGAGAAATTTTAGAACGAGTTTCGTACAACCAAAATAAAAATAATCCTAACGGCAAATAAGAAGAAAGGAAAATTATTTTAAGATGATGAGAACACAAAGGTAAAAACAAACAAACTACCAAAGCAAAGGAAAACGCGGGCGACCAAGCCGTGATCAGTTTTAGTTCTGCATCTGCACCGGTTTCTCGGAGGATGGATAATGCCATCCACTGGATAAGCCGTTGTCCGGCGAATAGCGCAGAACATTTTTTTTTTTTTAAACACCTATCCAATGGATAGCGATTTATCTCTAAGAAGGTGTTATCGGCTTTTTTAACAACTGAGCCCTAATTGGTTGAGAAAGTGGGTCGCAGTAAAAGAAAAACCAAAACAGCCCAGGATTACCTGTGATTACTCAATTGAAAATCGTTCTATTTGATCCTTGACCTGATTTCTTGCACGAAAAATGTGTTCTTTTACTTTTTCATATGACAAATAGGGCCCAAGAGCTGTACGCAACTGCTACAAGATGGTTATAATTCCAGTGGCGAATACACCATTAATCCAGATGGCGGCAAACCAATTCAAGTGTTATGTGACATGGATACCGATGGTGGGGGTTGGACCGTTTTTCAGAGACGTTTGGATGGCTCCGTTGACTTCTATCTTGGATGGGAATCCTACAAAAGAGGATTTGGAAATCTGAACAGAGAGTTCTGGCTCGGAAACGACAATCTTCACCGTTTGACTGCTGCTGAAGACGTCAAGCTCAGAGTTGACCTGGAAGACTTTGATGGAAACATCAAGTACGCTGAGTACACGACTTTTAAGGTGGCAAGTGAGGCAGATAAATACAGGCTTTTGATTGGAGGATACAGTGGCACGGCTGGTGACGCTATGACCAATAGACATAAGTAAGCAGAAATGGTTTTTTTAGGACTGAACTGAAATTAGAGAGGGCTCCGTCATCTGTACAAGTATATTTTATAACGCAGCCTTTCTGTCATCTGGGGCTGACCTCTTTACTGGTTTGCTGTATCCAGACGATCAGACTTCACATTTAACTTTTGCGCGTGAGCTCGGACCATTTACTGTTTAATTGTATTACTATTAAAATTGGAAAGCATAAGTTTAACTTCTACTCCTCTCTCTCTCGCTTTGGCCGAAAACGAGGTAAGACTGCCAGGAACAGGACCAAGAACTTTAATTTGGTTTCAGATTTACAAAGTCTGAGAACATTTTCCTTCTACGTTCTTTGTGTTGATGGGGACCCTTGCACGGGAAAACTAGAGCTTAAATTGCTGAAGACAGGATAATGAGGGCAGCACACCTTGCAAACTTTATTCTCACTTATAATTATTTTCCATGGTTTTCCATAATCTAATGCCAGTCTCCCCGCCTGCCTGCGTGTTTGTTTGTGTGTGCCTGCCTACCCATCTGCCTGCGTGTCTGTTTGTCTGTCCGTCCGTCCGATTGTCTGTCTGTCACCTGACTGTCTCTCCTTCTATACAATCACCTATCATTTTGCACATTTATTTCTTTGAGCATGTCTCCTTGCCTTCCTGTTCGTTTGTCCACTTCTCTATTTAAACTGCTCCCAACGTGCCCCAGACGTTATATGGTTAGATAATTTACTTAAGACACACAACGAAATTAACCTCATTTGTAATTTTCTTTTCAGTAATATGCAATTTACTACGAAAGATCATGATAATGATAGACGTGGTAACAACTGCGCTCAAGTCTTCAAGGGTGCGTGGTGGTACAAGACCTGTCACACATCCAATCTGAACGGATTGTACCTCAATGGTGCACATGCTTCCTATGCTGATGGAGTCAACTGGTTTTATTTTAAAGGCCATTACTATTCACTAAAACGAACTGAGATGAAATTCAAAAGCAAAAAATAAACTTCCTTTCGACAAATTAACGATTACTCTGTGTATTAGTAACACTTCGAGATTCGATTAAATGGTCATCTGCTGTCAACAACTAGTTCAATTTTCGGGAAAATAAAATAGATTGATCGTGTTCGCAATTTTCTGTCAGTGATCTGTGTTGTTCTTTCAAGGATCACGATAGTAAAGGATGAAAGTGGTGTGTAATTTATCAGGAGAGCCTCATGGTACAAATTATGCAACTTGTTCAATCTGAGCGATTTGTTCCTCAAAGGACCACGTTCTTCATACTCATCCGAATGAGATGAAAGTTTAAATTTCAGCTAAAGGCTCTTTTTCAACTCTTTTCTAAAATTTTTGACATCTTGATAGTAATTGCTTGGCTCACAAGGTTAACATTGCAAGTCAAACATCTCCTCAAGGGCTCAAATAAAGTTGACTAAAATTGATTGGAAATCTCATCTTACTTATCACGAAAACTTCTTCCCTTAACTTAGCTCTAGTTCTCTTTCTAGGTTTTTTTTCTCCAACAGATAAATGAAACTCTCTTGCTAAGGTAACGATGTACAACCAGGAATTTAGCTTTAACCGAAACTTCTAGCAATATCATTGAATTTAGTCACAAAGTTAAAATGATAAAAAAACTTGCAATGGGGATCTTAGTATAAAAGCAAAATAAAGGAACTCAAGGTCTCCATCGAATCCTCCATTTAATAAACATGCCACCGAAGGACAACTTCAGCCGTCATGTAATAACTTCAGACCCATTTGCTGAACAAAGGGGATCGCAAATTCTGATGTACAGCATTATCTTTTTTAAAATAATTATAAAACTGTTAGCAAGGACATATGACATATCCACATTCTTATTTACATTATTATGGTGTAAGCTGGCTCTAATAAACTTCAAAGATGAACTCAAAACTTGAAACTTAAATCGTTCATGATCCATTACTTGCTTTTCCAAGAGACTTATTCTATCTTCTGTACCTGATTGTCTAATAAGCAATATCATGATTACAATTATGATTGTTGTGTTGCTTCCTTATCACCTCGCATGTGAATAAAAAAGTTATGGATGAACCGAATCGCTAGAGGAGATCATCATTCTTCAAATTTTTAAATTTCAGACTAAAAGAAGAACCCCAGGAGAAACAATTTTCGATGAATTCATTATGTGCAGTCAGGATTTTAATTGAGTTGTTTTAACTTCTTCTGACATAGTCGTCCATAGAACATTTCTTTCTGACTCTTGATTTAAGAACCATCCTAAGAAGTTGTTTTGTCTGCTTTGTTGCGGTTCAAATAATTTCTGTGGTAAAATGTGCAACCTCCAAATGAGAGTAAACTTATCAATAAATGCAAACAACTGGTACCGCAATTGCGCTTATTTTGGAGTTCAGTTTAAATGCTCTCATATCTGGCCAGAAAGATAAACAGTTGGGTATCACCGATCTGTAGCCGGATGTAACTTGATAAAGAAACGTGAGAAAATTAGTTAGTAAAATAAACGAGAGCGAAAATATGAATTATGATTAAAGACTCGTGGTTACATGTTCACCTATGTTTTCATCACTCTGTGTCTCAATAAAGCACGTGACATGAAGTATAAGAAAAATGAGCGCTCAAAAGCAAAATAGCCTCAGGGAAATATAGGAAACACAGAAAGCTTTGACAGAGTGCCAGCGGCCCGCGTTTATAGAACTGATGGGCCATTTAAACAGGCCTTAATTAGCCACTGGCTTAAAAGCATTCCACATTTTGTAAAGCACGCTCCTACATCAAAAATTTTTTTTATTACTCTTTCACCTTCCTCATTGATTTTTCTGACAATAAACATATTCAAACTCCGGTTTTCCTCTGCGAGTGAACATGAATCCATTCTAAATGCTTTTTAATTTGATGAAGAAAAAGTCATATTTTCTCAGAAATTATTAAAAACAATATATACAGCAAAAATGGCTTAAGAAAATTTAAAAGTTCTTTATCTGGCTGAGAATATAAATAAACTAACTAATTATATGCTTCACTCAGGCTCTCTGCATAAGAAAAAAAATGAACCAACCCTCACTTCATGAGAGATATCGGCAGCCTAATGCAACTTGAAAGGAATTAGATACCACCAAGTCAACAGGACTAAGCAGATGGTCACCTTAAAAAGCATATCCTTTTACTTATACTGTTTTTAATTCTGACAATTTCCTTACACCTGCTTACCTAGGCAATAAAAAAGAAAAAAAAATTAATTATTCTTCATCACAAACTTTCTCAAGGTGAAGAATAAACATACATCTCTGTAAAATATATTTTATTTGTGCCTTTGCGTGCGGCATAAGTCTTATTTCAGAGCCAGATCTGAGGGCTGTTATATCATGCAATTTGACAGAGTTTTGATACAAGTACAGTAACATAATGATAAAATAAATTAAAATAATAGTGTTTAAAAAGGGTGGCTCTGAAAGAAAGCTAATGCTCTGTTGATAAGGAGGCCCTCACAAAATTTTACTTACAGAATTGTAAAATGACTTAACATTTGATGAAGACTACTATATACCCAAAAAACCTGCAAAATGTTAAATTATATGGTGTATTCTTTTTTCATTCTGGAAATTTCCTTTACCTAATGGCTTGGTTAGGCAATAGTAATTAAAAGAAACATTCATTCCTTTTCATCATAAACTTTCTGACGGTGAAAATTAAAAATGCATCTCTGTCTGCTATTTCTTCTTTGTGCTGTTATGTACGGCATAAGCCGTATTTCAGAGCCAGATCTGAGAGCGGTTAGATTTGCAAACAAGATAGAAGAACAAAAGCTGAACGGAAGCGTTATAAGAGAAATGGAAGTTGATTTGGAAATTTCTTGTCATTCGGAGAGTGCAGATGAACGGCGTCAATCTTACAACTTTAGAACCATTAAGGGCGACTCAGAGAAATTCATGCGTCAGCTAAGCGACTCTGATCGATTCGCTGGATTTGCTAACTTTACTGAGGATAATAAATTCATTTACAGAGGAGTGATGGTAGGCTAAATCTGTCCTAGTGCATCAACAATGACTTGAGGCTCAATGTATGAGTCATTTTATATTTAAGGGTGGCGGAGATCTGCGATAAAGGGACACAACTTTAAAAAGAAAAACAGACAAATTTCATCGAAAAGTTTTAAACTTTCCTTTGCTTTCCTATCCAAAAGTAGCATGCGCGTTCTGTCGGATCTTGTAATTTATATCTAGCATATGGAAGACTTATTAATGGAAAGCCTTAGCGAAATTACTATCAACAACAGTGGAGGGAGACAGGGAGGCGGGAGCCCGGGAGAACAGGGGGCAGGAGAGGGCGGGAAGCGAGAGAACGAGGGGCAGGCAGCGGGATCTATATGGGGGCGGGAAGCAGAAATAAAGAAGGCGATGGTTTGTTTTTCATTACTAGGTATTATTCAGTCAAAAACACTTATCTGGCAAATTTTTAAAATTTCGTAAGAGCAAAATTATAATTAAGGCAAGAAAACCGACATACTTTGGAGCCGTGTGAGCCTTTTAACATTTAAAATAAATATACAGAAAACCTAAAGTACTACGAAGTCGAGTAGGCTTCTCAGCCCCAATTTACACTCGATTATTAAACAGGCGCTTTGAACTCTCTGAGGAAACATTCTGCGAGATGCTTTCAGACTGTCGAGGCGAATGTGATTTGAAAACAAATTAAATTGAAGAAAATCAAGAAGTTGTCTTCACTTGGCGGAAGAAGAGGCTCCAACCAAAATTTGGAGTTGGAAGAGTTCAGTGTGGTTTTCCCGGCACATGGAAGACTTCCTCTAACCTTAAAACTTTCCGCAGAGGTTTAAAGAAGATTTCAACCCTATCGAACAAATCTGATAATCAGTCGAACAATAATGTTTAATCATGCTTCACTAGCACTTAAACTGAACGTTCAAAATGCAAACGGTTCAATAATTGATGTGCAGTGATTTAAATCATCCTTTGGAGTCAGCTTTTTTATTTGCTCACGACTAGCTACGACAAGTTAATTACGTCAAAAAGGGAAAGCAAGCACGGATGCAGGAGAAGCAAACTCTAAACGTTACGTCTGGCTCTTGATTTTTACAATTGCTTTTGAAATGGCATTCTTAAATGCATGGAAAAGCCTATATTAAATTGCAATAGCTATTACATCACACAGAGGACTGAGACTTTCGTCTCTATAACGAGATGTCAGAAGCGATGGTCAAACTGTGATAACCAGGTTAAACTTAGTTTAATTAAGAAAACTGTGAATAATAACTGAATTAATTTACGCCATACACTATCTACCAAGAGGGAGAAGATAAGTCTGTGTTTAAGAGGATAAGTCTGTCTGCACGTTCAGTTTTTTCGGGCGCTTTTTGTTTGTCATCATAACTGTTTCTGACAAGGAAGCTCTTCTTTCGACTTTTGCCGACAGAACCATGTCTTTGGATGACGATTCCAGACCAAGGCTGCACATTTCACCACAGAACGCACAAGATGATTATATATCGTCGAGAAAGCCTCGGGATTCGAAGAGACCAATTTTCTATGGATTAAACCTAATACTTTTTCTGGCTTTGATTCCTAGAGTATAAACGTGTTCGCTTCGTTACAGGTGCGAGGCAATCAACGACAACAATCAGCGTCAAAATTAGTTGACACATCATTTTGAAGAGTTCAGAATCTATCAATGTGTAGAATCACACTCGTTTCTAACATACCCTAAACTATTGACAAGACCCCCATCCCCCATAAAAAGGGCAAAAGAGATTAAATTGAAGTAATATGGGATTGGAGGATTCAATGTGTCAACATTACTATCGCCGATTGTAGGCCTTTAGTACTGTTGACGGTTGCAAGACTTGAAATCGACATATATGTTGGCAAGAACTTGTTCTGTCTCTGTGCACTATTCACCAGTACTTCTGACTTGTCGGGATTGAAGTGCAAATTCCATTTCTTAGTCCATGCTGCCAGCTCATCGATATTGAATTCTGGCCCCTATTTTTCTCTTTCTACGTTTTCCAGTTTCCTTTATACTTT